AACCCTCACTAAAAAGAACCAGGGTCCTTGGAGAGATGGCTGAATCCAATACAGGGACATACAAAGAAGGGACGTCCTGTTGCAACAGAAAGGACGGAAGTGGTCAAAAGCAAGGACAGGGCAAACGAAAGGACACTGGGACTGGTGCTCACAAATCTGGGGCATTCTGAGCATCGGAACGTACAAGAACGTTCATCGAGCCATAAGCTACTGTAACCAAAGTTAGAGCATAAAGAATCTACAAACCCGTATTGACAATAAACACTACACGGGAAGAAGGTAAGACTTGTCTTGACAACAGTTTCCAGCTAACGTAGAAGGAATCACGGCGTCCGAGGAGTAACAGTTGGCCGGCGTCACAGAGAGCTACATCGGCGGGCGGTGCTGCGGAGACACAGGGCTTACACGCTCCCGACCCATCCCCACATGCGACCCTTTGTGACACAGGGAAAATACTAGCCGAGCAGTGGAGAAACCAGACAAGCCCCCATCCGGGGACCACAGTTAACATTACCAGTCAGGGGCCGACAGTTTGGGGTATCCGGACCTGATACCCCCAAACAGCAACATTTACTTGTTTTCCAGCCAAAAATGTGTAACCTGAATCCGATCCTGACAACACATCAGGCTGAGGGACATCATTCCTCAACCGTATCAGAGCAGGCTGGGCAGGTGGCAAGGGCGTGTGGGGCCAGCGTCAGAGCCGGGACAGAAACGGGAGAGCCCGTCACGTGTTCGCTGCCTTGCGTTTCTCGGGTTGGTCGCTACCGCCGTCCCTTCAGAGGAGACCCGTATTTGGGGGCAGGACACCCACAGCTCAGGGATAAAGCGATGTGCAGGGGAGCAGGGAGGAGGAGGGACAGGACACGCTATGTCCCAGCATAGACACCCTCGCCAGGGGAGGGAGGGAGGCGGGTGTTGGGGAAGGTGTGCAAATACGGAGCAGCAAGGTGCTGAGGGGACGCTGTACACAAAGTGACAGAAGGCCTCAGCTGCCCAGGCTGACGACGAGAGTTCGGCCACATGGGACGGTGTCGCCCTCAGCGGGCTCTGGGCTCCTGGCCGGCTCCAGAACGAGCGGAGTGGTTTCTCTCCGCCTCTGCACGCTGGCCCTCGGGCCACCCTGAAACGACACTACCAGGCTCTGGATACCCTGGAGTCAATTCCAGAACATTCTGCGTTCCGAGTCATTAGAAGACAGAGAACAGATTCCCGGATTCCTCCCAGGCCATATTCTAGACAAGATCAGGCAAGACAACCCGCACTAGAGTATATTCTAGTTCCCGACCAAGGGGAAGAGCTACTTAAAAACCGTTTTCGAATCAGTAGGCCCTGCCGTGAGAGCAAACGGTAAACGTGGAGGTGAAGTGAGAGTTTGGGCGTCGTGTGTTTGCTTACCTACAGGGGCCTGAACTCTCGCTCCTGACATCAGTCTGATGGGCGGCGGCGGCACGGGCCGGGCGCCCATGGGCTCCGTGCGGCCGCGTCTGCTGCCCGGGGCCTGCCAGAGCCCACGCCTGCCTCCCGCCTGGCCCGCGAGCTCACGGGAACTCAGCTGGAAGGGACAGCAGGGCGTGGGCGGGAAGCAAGCGCCTGGTTCGGGGGCCCTGAGCACGGAGGTGTTCTGATCGCGACACCAGGGCAGCCCTCCGGCTCGAGGTCGGCCCCACGCGCCCGCACCTTGTCCCGGGTGACGGGCTGTGTGTCCTTCCTGCTGAAGCACGGGGTTGGCGGCCCACGCACCCGTCGGGACTTCTAACTGGTGCTGAGTCCGTGCCAGCCTGAGCAGGAGGCTACTGCTGGGAAGGGACCCACTGCTACACGGGACACCTGACAGGTGGCCGGCAAGTCAGGTGACCTCTCCACGTCCGACTGCGAGAAGGCAGAACGAGGCAGGCTTCTCCGCTTTGCTTCTATCCGTACAGTGTGCACAGGATGGAATAAAGGGAAGGCTGCCCGCCTCGTAGAACACTGAGCCACAGGTAACAATACTCCAGTGAACCACCATGCCATCGGACAGACACGTGGATGCCAACACCCGCGGGGCAGAGAAGTCTGGCGGACCCCGCCTCCACGGGCCCCCGGAGGCACGAGACCCTCCTGCAGCTCAGCCAGCTTTCAGTTCCCCACCAGGAATGCCCTTGCCGGGCGCCCTTGAGCAAGGCTGGTGCTGCTCGCCACCTCTCCACCCTGCCTCGTCTGGAACGCTTCGTCAGCCTGCGTTCGCGAGCACCTGCTCGCCGACAGGACCCTCTGGACGGCCGCCTCAGGGCCCTGGGTCTGCTCACTCCCTGGCTCACTGCTGCTGAGTAGCTGTCCCACGCCCGGCCCTGCGGGACGCGGACGGACGGACACAGACCCCGCTCTCACCGATGAGGCCGCCGGTGAACCCGGGCTGTTGCTAAACCGGCTGGCAAGGACCAGCCAGGGAGCCTCCCACATCGAGCTGAACCTCAGCTGACACCAGGAGTAGGCCCACGTGTGCACGTGGCTGTGTCCCAGCCACGTCTCCCACCAGCAGGTCAGGATCCCGAGCTGCCTTCAGTCGTCTGCGCCAACCGTGAGGCACTGTGGGTTACGTGGCCCAGCGCCCAGCAGCGCCCCGCGGCACGGAGCGGCGGCCGTGGGCGGCGTGCGGGGCGCTCTGAGGGGACCCTGGGGTCTGCGCGGAGAGACGGCGGGGGCACGGCCTCCCTGCCTGCAGGGCGCTCAGGAACGCAGATGCGCAGGGGCGGAAACAGAGACAACGTGCTCTACCCCCTTGGCCTGGTTTCCCCCTTTTGAAAACCACAGCATGGCTACCAAGAGAAAGTGCAGGGCCACGCAATAATGATTTGTAACCCCCACGTCGAGGCCACGCTGGAGAGCCCGCGTCCTCGCTAAGGGCACGGCTGGCCCCCGCCTCAGGCACCTGTAACGGGAGAGTCCAGGCTCATGCTGCCAGATCCTCCCATTTCTCAAGATTCCAGAATTTCTGTCTGCTGTGTGCGCTCTCCCAGCTCGGCACCTGCCCTCCCTCTCCGCGGACGATGCGTGAGTCACACCGGCCGCCCCGGGCTCTGCAGGGGCCTCTCCCTCGGCAGCCTCACCCATGCACACGGCTGGTGCGGGGTGGCCTGGGCCTGGCGCAGAGCCCGGGAAGCGCCGCACAATCTGTGGGTCCTGGATCAAAAGGGTTCCAAAAGCCTCTTTCTACACAAACAGGCTTGCTTTCGTGTTCCTCACGGGAAGTCCCTGGTCAGAGGGAACGCTAACGGGTGTGTGTGCGGGGGGTGGGGGTAAGCTCATGTGTTGTCTGGTGGCTCTCTCCCTGCACGAGAACCGCATCTCTGTGAAGATGCACCGTGTCAAGGGTGAACCTGGGGAAGGTCCAAGTCCTCGTGTAGGTCAGACAAAAATTCAGCTGAGGCGGCTGGGGGGCTCAGTCGGTGAAGCGTCTGCCTTCGGCTCGGGTCATGATCCCAGGGTCCTGGGATCAAGCCCCACATTGGGCTCCCTGCTCAGCGGGAGTCTGCTTCTCCCTCTCCCACTCCCCCTGCTTGTGTTCCTGCTCTCGCTGTGTCTCTGTCAAAATAAATAAATAAAATCTTTTTAAAAAAATTAAGCTAACTACTTCATACCTTAACCCAACTTTTGAACGGAGACCGATCCTCAGTCTCTGTCTCCAAGATAATGCAAGACTTGCACTGAAACAAACAGTATTGAGAGACAGGAACTGACATCCTTTTGGGTCCATAAACATAAGTTACTTTATTACACTTCGTCCCATCAGAACACAGATCGAAGTCACTTCTTACGAGGACATGGCAGGTATTGCACATCTTGACCTAAGCACGACCCGCAGGTCGAAGCAGCAGCGCTGAGGACACAGCACTGAGCTCCGTGTCCCAGGACGAGCGCAGGCCGGGCGCCTCCACGACCCATAAACACATGTTTTCTGCAAACACGTCAAAGGGGCTTTCAATAAAAAACAAACTTTTAATTTTAACTGCACGGTCATGGCCAGAATAAAATGTGCACGTGGGTCTCCCCCACAGCCCACGTTGTGAGCTGAAATGACCCCCGCTTTCCTAAAGTTTGCGCTGCAACACTTCGCAGACCCACTCTGTGCCTGTTTTCGCCGCCTGACGGAAACCCACGGGGCCTCCCTTCGGCAGGGAGGCGCTGCTGTGGGGACGCAGGTCTCTGGTAAAGGCGGACAGGCCGCAGGGAGCTTTCAGAAGCGGGGCTGCCCGTGTCTCCCGGCACACGAGCCAGGCTGCTGGGACCTCCACTGGGCGCAGCGTGGCGAAGGCGACCGCCTCGGGAGGCACCGCCAGGCGCCCAGCAAGGGCTGCCGTGGAGTGAGCCACGACTGCGGGCCCTGCCGTCCAGCCCCTCGACGCCCGGGGGAAAGCGACCACTGCTCGGCCTTGACACCCACAGACGCACCAGCCACGGAGCAAGGGTCCGGATGGGAAGCCCAACGGCAACTCGGTCTATTCAGAACGGTTCTACGGCCCAGACAAATCCGATTACCAAACGTCTCCCGTGTTTTGCCGAGTGAGCCACAGAGCATGAATACATACTGCTTGTTTTCTCACGGATCCCGTGACCCACAAGCCTCACGGGCCCTGCTGTCGTGCACGCTCCCGTCAGGCGGGGTCCGGTCCCAGGCAGCGGCTCCTGCCCGTGGTCCCCACGCGCCCTGGACGCACGTGTGCACAGTGGGCTGCACACTTCACGCAGGACGCTCTAACGAGGGGCACGAATGGGGCACTCAGCTCGGGGCAGTTCTCTCCAACTAAGCGGGACACCACGACCGGACAGGACACACGGCACGCGGACCGTGTGACCAGAGAGACCACGCGGGCGGCCACAGCGCCACGTCAGGCCCTCCCGGACAGGTGGCCCGGCCTCCACCACCGATGCCCTCCTTGGTGCTGATCAGGGCCCCGCATAGGTAGGCGCGCAGGAACAAACCACAGCAGACAATGGAGTTATGACGGCAAAAATCCAGCCCCGGAGGCAAACCGAAGCTTTAAAAACACTTTGTGGCTACGTGGAAATTAACATGAACGACACAGCTGGTCCGACTTGGAGACAGCGCTGGACTCGGAGCCCGTGTCTACCTGAGCCCATGTGGAGAACGCCGGCGGGGCCCGGGGCCAGGGGCCGCGCGCTGCAGTCCGGGCCCCCAGCGGCTACTGCCCCTTCTTGGGCGGCACCTGGCCGTTGGCCCCGGTGGGCCGGCTGCTTCTGGGCGCCGGCTGCGCAAAGTTCCAATCCTCCGGGTGGAGCAGCTGCTGAGTCTTCTTGTGGGTCCAGTAGGGATTGAGGATGAGCGTGAGGAGGCTCAGTCCGACGAGGAAGAGCGCCAGGTGCAGCAGGTGGAGGCTGCTGAGCAGCTCGTCCCAGTGCCGGAAGCACACCCACCACATGTGATAGGTCAGCACCATTCGGCAGTGGAACATGTGAACCATCAGCCACTGGTTCAGCTTCCAGAACAGCGAGTCGGACCAGCCGGCCTGTGGACAGAACAGAAGCCGGTCAGTGCACTCTGCACGCAAAGGGTCCACCAGCCCAACACATCCCTGCAGACGCACGCTCTCCCCTGCCTGGGGCTTCTTGCGGGAAGGAGCCGCCCGCCGACTGAGCACCGCGCAGACAGCGGGGCCCCTTCCTCACCCATCCCTTCTCCTCCTTCTGGCAGTTTCTCCCACGAGCAAAATCTAGTCTTCTCTTCAATCTCACCCCAAAGTTCACGTTTAACCTTGAGCTCACACATACCGACCGACAGATCGAGCTCCCGTATGGCAGCCCTGGGACAAGAATCTCCGAGAGGAGAGACGCTGAGGATGACACACATTTCCTGCTTGGAGTTTCGGTACTTTTATCCCAGGAGCCCATGGACACAGGCAGAGACGGACTTTCCTTAAAACAACTCTAAATTCACACTAAGCTAGTTTCCAAGAGTCATAGCCAAAACTGAACAGAGAACTTGAAGATGGTCCATCAGATCGTGGATGCCAAGGTGGGACCTCACCAGCACCAGGACACCTGGCCCCAGGACATCCAGCACGGGGAGGGCCAGCACCACATCCCAGCACCCCTCAGACCTCCCACATGCCAGCCTCTCCAACCTTGTCTCTGCTGAACCGAAGCCACAAAACCCTCCTCAGGAGCTCCATGCCGAGGTGGCCCCCAGGGTGGCAGCGGGGTCTTGCGCTTGCAGAAGGGAACTCTGAGCGGGCAGCACAACGCGGCCTCGGGAAAGGGAACGGTTCTACTTGAGCTACGTCCACCCAGTCCCGATGGGGACGCAGCAAACCAACTCCTGAATGTTTTTAAACAACAAGGAAGGAATCTTAATCTCTCATGGCATAAAAATGTGTCCACACAGCTCTGACACAGGAGAACGAGAATCCACGGAATTGATGACTCAGGAAAAATAAACTGAGAAAAACAAGGAACTTCCCTGTTGTCTGAAAAACTGAACTTAGCCAAAAATAACTTCACAACAACTCTGCAGGGTCTACGACTTTTAGAGCAGACGTACCCATGCCTGCTTTTTTCTACTGATAATTCAGTTAGTGAAATAACACCCCACAGAAGCACCCTATTTATGCGGGCAGAGTTTGAACACAAGCATGGACGTGAAGCGAGGAGACGGAAGGCCCACAGAAGGGCCCCTGGAGGCTCTCACGGCTCCCTCTCTGGGCACGTGGGTTCTCGGGCCTCCCGCGGGCAGCCCCCCTGGTGGAGTCTGTAGGGATGGACGCTGCCCTGCTCATGCAGCATGCCACCTCCAGACCCCGCGGGCAGCTTTTCACAGACTCACCAAGGACTTCGTTTGCTCCCACCCTGGGTTTGGTGCCGCTCAAGGTGGACCGTAGCCACATGCTTCCCGTGGACCCCACGCTGCTGGAGCAATGAGCACGCAGGAGTGAGAGCCAAGGCACACACCCGAAGCAAGTGTAACACCTCCACACTAAAGGCGCCTAAGACACAGAAGCTGAGACCAGATCTGTGTTCACCGGTCCTGACAGCCACGTGACAGAAGGATAAAACCAAATACGTCTGCTAACTTTTCTGTAAAATCAGAGGGCGAGGCTATAGTTCTCGGAGGCTCCTGTCCGAAGGAGAAGCCACGACCGCCGTCAGCCCCCCATCAGCAGGAACCAGGTGCCCCAGCACTCGGGCGTGCCCCAGTCTGGTGAGAAACCATGTGGCCTCTGCCAAGTGGTCCCATCACCAGGCCCAGAGGCGGCGATGGACAGCACTCAGGTTGCCACAGGTGCGCTGTTCATGTACCCTCCTCCAACACCCACTGCAGTACTGGGTGCAGCCTGGATGCACATGGGGGGTGGGGACACACGATCCCAGCTGCATGGACTCTGCTCCCTTGTGCGAGCTTCTCTGGACTTGGCCACACTGTTTCCCAAGGGAACAAAGCACACATCTGCCCTGAGCGGCCTCCACCTCTAGAGCTCGGCCCGTCGTCCGCGTTTCCTCCCCAGTCCCCGCCTGCAACTGGCAGGGCACCCGATTACCACCAATGAGCGCATGCATCTTCTGTGGGGTCGTAGGAGTAGGCCACAGGTACACCTTTCTCAAGCACAGAAACACGGGAGGTTTGACGTTTCCAAAGTCAGATCGCTCCTGTGGAAGAGCTCAGGCTTCGAGAGTACGAACTGTGGGGACACGGGAGCAGAGCGGAGCACACCTCAACGCCACCGCCCCCCACCCCTCCTTCGCACTTAGCAGCACGGACTCCGTCCCACTTTGCCATTCCCTCCAAAATTCACAGAACAAAGGGCTCTTCCCCGTTATTCCCCTCACTGCTAAAAGTGGTCTTCTTAAATTATTAATGTTCATATCACAGATATGAACTTTTACTCACAGAGTAATTATGTTCAGAAAGCTCGAAGCCTGAGAACTGAGCATTCTTCGGCATAACCCGGGTCACCTGGTGTCCAGCGCCACCACGTGCTCTGAGCAGGGACAGGGACAGCGTCGGTGACAGCACGTACAGAGCCGCTTTCTGCAGCACAGCGTGGGGCATGTGCACGGAAACCGACAGGCCTCATGCACACCCGGGCCAGTCGTTGTGGGTGAATTTTATCCCGAGGTTCGAGTCCTGTGCAATTCGTTTGTTAATGCTAACGTTTCAGAATCAGTCAAGAAGGAAATGCTAATAATAAGCTACTACTGGAGGCAGAGCCCGTCTTAAATCACGGTGATGTTTGCCGTCTTCAGGTACATCCTGTGCTATCTCAACAACTCAGACCTGGTGCTCTGGCAGATTCTTAAATCCGGATGCCCAACTACGCATGACTTTGGCAGCTTTACTGAAAGCTTAAAAGGATTTCAATACTGTAGGCAGCACTGACTTACGTTTAGTAGTATGTGAACGACAACACGGAACACTGACCTGAGCTACCTTGATTTGGGGTGCAGTTCTGCTGATGGGGTCTGCTGGCTTGGCAGAGTCAGGGTGCTAAGAAGTGAACACACGGAGATCCCTTTCTCCATCCTGCACAAACAGCACCCAGCGAACTGCAGAGGCAGCAGAAAAATCCAAAACCAAGTCTCTCTCCCGAGCCCACCCACCGCTGGAGTCTGCCTTCCTCCCGAGGATGCTGAGGACCAGAGGCTGGTGGCCACGCGGGTCCAGGCGGTGGAGACACAAGTCTGGAGAAATACACGTGAAGCTGTTCAACACTGATCACCACTATGGACTGGAAGGAGACAAGAAGATTTTCTTTCCTTTTTTTTTTTTTATGAAGTTCCAACAAAAAAATAACAAAAATTCCAGAAAACTAATCATCTGTTTTCTCAAACGTGGGCCTCACATCCCAGGCACGTCTGTCTTGTAGGTTTGGTGCAGGTCCCTGTTGGCCACGGCGGTCCAGCCCATCCACGTGAGCGGGCTGCCCTGTGCGGGGGGCAGACGGGACAGGATGGCCGGACGGCAGCCCGCGTGTCCGGCACAGCCTCCGTCCACGGCTGACCACAACACTGGTGCTGTGCTCACGGCCACAGAATGCAGGGAAGTCTCAGCCCCTGCTCTCCAAACTCAGGAAGCCCCTCTCGTGGAGGGGACATCCACAAGAGAGAACTGAAAAGCCGCAGGGTGTGAGCAGGACACACCGGCGGCGCCCGAGTCACGGCATCTTATCAAAACGACCCACCGCTGGACCAGCAGCCTCCATCATTTGGAGGTCGGCCGGCTTCACTCCTCCCTCCATTAACCATTTCCAACCTTCCCCCAAATCACTGCTGCCTGAGGACCTCAACCGTCCGCAAACCCTGCATTCACGAAGCTCCCGGCACTGAGCAGCGGCTACAGCTCCCCAGCCGGAGGGCCGGCGTTCACGGGCCAGCCCCGGCCCTCCCCGAGCTGCCCAGCCCGCCTGCTCGCCGCGGCACCTGTCCCCGTGCTCACACGTCCTCCTGCGGCACGAGGCGGGGGCAGCCCCGGGGGACCGCAGCAAGGCCAGACGCCGGCGTTTGCTACGTGTGAACGGTCTGCCCCACGAACACCGGTAACACACTCCGATGTTCCCACACTGTCTACCCCAGGGGACCTGAAGGCACTGATGATTCTTCCTGCTTCTCGATTTTCTGCCGAAGCTACCACAGCGTTACAGAAGTGCTCAGGGCCCTGACCCATTTGCGGTGACTGCATCAGACATTTACGAAACAAAAAGCAGTATTTCATGTTTCACATAAAACATCCTGTGAACAGTGAGCCACAGAAGACGGCAAGAAATCTGCGCTAAAGACAGAATTCTCAACAGTCTCACCTGAACATTTTGCTATCAAGATGGTATCCAGAAAACATACAGCTTCTAAAAATACTGTTTTACAAACAAAAAGGCAACAAATACTGCACAAATAGTGATGGTAGGTCCCGACACCTCTGATCGGTAGAAAAACCACCTTATTCAGAAACACAAGCGTAAGACGACACGCAAGCTATGACAGACATCAGAAGACAGTGGACAGGAAGCCGGACCCACCCTCCCCGCAAACACCCGGATTCAGCACAATGCACACACAAAGCTCCTTTGTGAGAAATCAGAAACCCTGGGGAGGCCCCTGCATGCGGGGGAATGTGAGCCGCCCTCGCCGCGGAAGGGAGGGACCCTCCAGCAGCACAGGGTCAGGAGGAGACCCCAGAAGAGGGAGGAGTTGCTACATGCGTCCAGCACCCCACCCTTTCCGAGGGGCTGGCGGAGGACTGGCCTCTGTCTGGTCGGTCCTGCAGGGTCCAGCTGCCGGGCCCCGGGGAGAAGAGAGGCAGTGGCTGGGCTGGCAGACCCCGTAGCTTCTGCCCCCGACTCCAGCTCCGCACAGAGGGAGCAGACTGCACAGCGGCCGACTTTCCCCCGGGGAGGGACAGAGCCGGCAGAGAGCCCCAGAATCTCTGGCCAGGCTGACCAGTGGGGTTGGCTCCCGCGTGAGGACAGTGTGTGGAGCCTGGGAGAGGTGCTTGCTTTGTTTGATGCACAGGCAGCAACAGCCCTGGGCAAGGGCAGGGTCGGGCAAAGGTGTTCCCAAGGTCAATCTCCAAAAGCAGACCCTAAGGGACTGGAGTTAAATGATGTATCTGACAGAGAAGGACCCGTAACTGTCACGAAGATGCGAGTCACTGGAGTCACGAGAACAATGCATGAACCAAATGAGAATTTCAACAGAGACAGAAAATATTTAAGAAAATAAAAAGTCCCAAAAGGAAATCAAGGAGCTGAGAACACTTAGTAAAGGAACTGAAAACTTGACTAGAAAGCTTCGCCAATGTGATCCCCAGTTCAACGCCATTCCTACCAAAATCACAATGGCACTCTTTGCAGAAATAGAAGAAACCATTCTAAAATCCACGGAAAACCACACAAGACCACAAACAGTCATCTGAGCCTTGAGAAAGAAGAACACGCGGAGGCACCACACTTCCTGATTTCAGACTATAACACAAACTATAACACAGACTATAATACGCAAAACGGCACGGCACTGGTGGGAAGGCGGGCACGGAGCCCAGAGGCCAGAAGGAAGCCCACCGTGGACGCTCAACTCGTCGAGCACAGAAGGGCCAAGAACCTGCAACAGGGAAAGGCCGTCCCTCCGACAGGTGGTGCTGGGAAGACTGGGCTGCATTCCTACATCAGACACAAAAGTCAGAATGGGTTGAAGGCCCCAAAGCTAACAGTCCTGGAAGAAAACATGGGAAAAAGCTTCACGACTCCAGTCTTGGCAACGATTGCCCAGCTATGACCCCAAGAGCGCAGGCGACGGAGATGAAAATAAACTGCGACCGCATGAAGCTAAGAACCTTCACGGCAGAGGCACAAACACACGCCCCACAGTGGGGGGCGGGCGCCTGCAGACCGGTGACCAGCAGCAGACTACTCTCCAATGCAGGTAAAGAGCTACAAGGCGCGAGTGGAAACAAAACTCTGATCCGAACATGGCTCAAGGCGGTGAACCGTTTTCGGGAGAAGACACGTACGTGGTCCACAGCTGCATGAAAGTGTGTAAGCTCGCTGATCACGAGGGAGAAGCAAACCAAAACCACATGAGACCGTTGCACACGGGTCACGACGGCGAGAATCAACAACATGCAGGAGACCAGTGTGGGCGAGCACGTGGAGACACCGGGACCCTGGCACGGCGTCGCGGGAACGGAGAGGGGGTGGCCGCCGTGCAGAACAGCACGGAGGTTTTACCACGTCATGCAGTCATCCCACTGGTGAACGCTCTTCCAAAATAACCGAAATCAGGATCTCAAAGAGCTGGGAGCACCTCCATGCTCACTGCAGCGCTATTCGCAGCGGCTAAGATGCGCCCACGACCCAGGTGCCCACGACGGACCCACGGACACAGACAGCGTGGCGCCCACACACCACGCAAAACCCGTCTGCCTGAGAGGAGATTCTGCGGTGGGCCACGTGCGTGAGCCTTGCGGACACGACGCTCGGAGGAGTGAGCCTCCACTTATGTATCTAAAGCAGCCGAATTCACAGAACGGTGTGGGGCGGTGGCTGCCCGCAGCTGGAGGGAGAGGAGGCTGGAAGCTTCGGCAAGCACGGGGGGCAAACTCAAGGGCTTGGCCGTGACACGCCATGCCTGTGGTCTGCAGGAACGTCCTGTCCACGTAAGAACTCCTGAAGCGGGTGGATCTCATGATAAGCGTTAAAATAACATAAGATGAAATAAAAATTTTAAAAAAGATGCGTGTGTACATATATAGTTTATGGATTTTTTTTTTAAAAAGCATCTGAAAGAAAAATACCATGTTTTCTGGGGCTTACAACATCCTATCGACTAAGTGCCAAGATCCAGAGAGTCTTGTTTTGCTACGGAGCTAGAAGCCTAAGAGATTTGCAGTTAGAACACGGAATTCAGCCAGGAGGAGCTGCTCACGGACTCCGCACACTGCGATTGAGTCTGGGGTGACCACAGAGCACGGTGCCCGAGGAGCGGGCTCCCCCACCGGTGCAGACCAGGGCAGCAGCAGCAGATGCCCCCCGTGTCCCGCCGGAAACACTCACCTTTAAGAGCATCCAGGAAATGCAGGTGAAGGGGGTGCTGGCCTCCAGGAGCAGTGTGGTCATCGCCAGATAGTGGCCCGCTTCCAGGTTGACCAAGGAGCCAAGAAAGCCAAGGAAGGCGAAGAGATGATGGGCCACCAAGAACAAGTCAAACGTGCGGAAGAGCGCGTTGGACAGGTGAACCGCTACATTTTCGAAGAAGAAGAATCCAGTTGCCGTGGCGATGTGGAACCAGCACCAGTTCTGCTGGCCACGCACCTTGTCGGCTTGCAGCACGGAGTCCACCAGCAGGGCCCACAGGCCCGCAGCCGTGCTCTGAATGCCAAACACGGCGCGCGTGGCCGCCAGGTCCCAGAAGACCTTCTCCCTGGCCACCAGAGAGCGGTACGTGGCGTTGAGGGAGGACGACAGCTGGTGGCAGACCACGAAGACGCCCAGGTAGAAGACGAAGCCGGCGACCGCCAGCGTGGAGCGGATCTTCCAGGACGTGTAGTCCAGGTCGAAGATGCTCTCTGCCGTGCCTCCATCGCTCACAGGAGTCATCCTGCTCGACTGAGTCTGCCGCGGGCGTCCCAGGCCCACGCCCCAGCTCTCCAAGAACGCAGAGTCGGTGTGGGTGCCTCTGGGGTCTGCATGCACCCGTCTGCCACCTGCAGAAGGACAGATGGGTCACTCCGCGTGGACCAGGCAGGAGCGAGCCCACAGCCCCGCTCCAGCAGGACAGACGCACTATGGTAATAAGGATTTCTAAAAACCTCTTCACCGTATCTGAAGACACACGCACCACAAGAAAACGCCCAACCCGTTGGCGGTCCAGGACAAGGCCGGGAGAGGAGCCGGGAGCTAGAGCGGAGTGGAGTGGACAGGCTGTCCTGGACTCTGCCCTGGGCCACCCGGGAGTCACGCTGTGTGCACAGTCCACGGGGTAGCACATGTTCAGACAATCACACAGCCGTGGGCTCTCGCCCAGAAACCGGAGACAGGAACACTGGCCTGGTCGTGCGCGGTCTGCAGGGCCACGTCCACGTGCCCCAGGCCCGCCAGCCCCCGCGTCCCGCGTGCTGGCTTCAGACCGGCTGCAGCCCGGGTCACACATGGCAATCTCTGTGGTGCGCAGCGGACGCGGTGGTGAGAGCATGAGGATGCTCGTCACCTGTAGCCATCTGTCCTTAAAAAAGCCACAGGAAAACCTAAGTCCCGGTTCCGGTCTGTTAACCCGCCAGGCAGCATCGAGTCTGCCCTCAGTGCCCTGTCAGAAGCAAGTGCGGGGACTGGATCGGAGGGGCGAGGCCGCCGTGCATGCCCATCTGCGGACAGTGGGAATTACTGCTCCCTGGAGCTCCCCCGGGCCCCCCGCCAGACCAGAGCATCGTCAGGGCCTTCTTGAGTCTCCAAGTAACTCCGCTTCCAACCATGAAAACGACCCCCTGCGCCACAGACAGAAAAACATCAACGGAGCACGTCCCCGAGGGCCGTGGGTAGAGCTCATGGCTGCCCTGTTCCCAAAATTCATGCTCTCCTACAACCAGGGGCTGCCTGTGGGCAGAGAAAACATCACGAACACACTTACCTATTCAAGAAACAAGTTCAACTGAAATAAGCCAATGACTTTCCTCTGTTAACACCGTAAAAACAAAAGTTCATCCTTTCATTGCCCAGAAATATAAACTATTTCTTCTTTTCACAACCAACCCACTTCCTATTCCTACGTAGGTTCGACAAAACTTGGGAGATCGCGGGAAAATGGACTTCAAACCTGATTTCCAGTACATTTAAGAAGTTTCCTGACTCCGCGTTAGAAGATGGTTGTCGTCTGGGTTCTTCTAGTTAGCAGGACAGAATGGATGTAGTCACCCCCAGAAGAACGCCGTACAGGTCTGCGCTCCTGCCCCGTTCAAGTCTGAGCCCTGTGCTCTCAGGACCAGACCCCACCCCGCCCTGCACCCTGCTCCATGCTCCAGCCCTACTCAGCCTTCCAGTTCCTTTAAACCCACCTGCCTTATTACCTCTGGGCTTCGGCTCCCGCTGGGTCCTGTACCTGAGTCCATGCACCTGCTCCGCCTGTCAGCCCCTCTTACCTTCAGATTCATCGGTGCCGTTTCTCCAGAAGCCATCTCAGACCAGAGGAAGTGCCACGGACTGCCCACCCTCTGTCCCCTCCACCGCTGTATCTAGACACGCGCTCTGACTACTGCTGGGACCCCTAACCTCCCCCAGACCAGCAGCTCTCTGAGGCCAGGGCCATGCCCACCTGTCCATCACCTTGCCCCCACTGACGGATACAGCACCTGGCACAGAGGACCCACTCAAGAAGCACTTGTTGAACATATGCACAGATTTCAAATTACGCTCACACGGTCAAATTTATGTAAGTTTGGACGTGTTTTGTTTGTAAAACTGCAAACACCAGTCTTGAGTCTTCCAAACAGACAAAGACGTCTGAAGCTCCCTATGTCAGACTTTCAGGGAGGGGACCCCCAGGATCAGGGGCTCACCAAGGGGCCTTGGAGGCCTGGCCTGCAGGTTCCCCTGGGTCCCGCCTGCCCCCCACACCCCACAGCTTTGCAGGGGCTCGTCGCACACGGCACTTCCTTGGGGAGCAGAGGACTCTGCCTCACATCTGGTGAAGGAAGAGCAGGCCTGCAGGGGAATCGGGCTGCCCACAGCAGACCTAAGACTCTCCATCCTTGGGGAGACACCACATCGAGCAGAGCGTCCAGCCACAAGCATTAAACCAGCTGTGAATCTGTGAATATTCAGTGAAAAGCAGCAAAATGGCTCTTCTGCCCAGACGGTTGCCATGACCAGTCAGCACACAGAACGTACTAGCTCATTTAACCCAAGTTATAAAGGAACCATTTCCAACCACTGAACTCTTGGATTTGATAACGGTCCTATAATCAAAGGCCAGTATCACAGAAGTGTTTGTTTTCCTATTCCTCAGTGAACACGACCTCTAAAGTAGGCTGGCTCTCTGTCAGTAGGAATCTGGCTCCGGGAGGAGAAGAGACGAGACCACACCCATTCGCTCCCTTTCTACCCAGGGCTCTGGGTCTGCCCCAGTGCATGTGCCCAGGAGTGCTCTGTACCGGACGGGACTGCAGGTGTCCAGCCGGCTGCTCCCATGGGTTCACAGGCATGTTCTCTCTTCCTCACACATCCCAGAACACTTGCGAGTTCATGTGCACACAGACCCAGTTTAACACCAGAGGACAGGCTGGAAAGAGCGCTTGCCTCTGGATATCTGTGCACAGATGTGTGTGTGTTTCTCCCCCTCTGTGCTCTGACAACTTAAAAACCTCCCTGGCTGGGGAGACTGCCCGCCTAGGGCCAGCCCGCTCTTACGAGATAGCAAAGCAGAGAACTAACCGATCAGAGCCTTGCCTCCCCCGTCTGTCCCCGCACCCAGGAGCAACATTCCTCTGCCTCTTGCCACCCCTATTGCCCAAAGCCCAGCAAAATTGTCCAAAGTCACCAGTCCTGAATCATTCACCCTGTCCTGCCTGCTTTTCCCATGGAAACCCCAACAAAGGCCGTGGCCTAAGGCTTCCCCTGCCTCCTGACCTAGTGCTTCCCCGGGGGGCACAGCATGGGGTGGCCTGGAGTGCCTTCCGTCTCTAGGACCCATGAGTATAACGGCCTTGGTCTTCCTGAGCCTCTGCTCCGTGCCCTCTTGTGGCTGCACCTACTTCATAAAAGCACGCAGAACAATCGGTTCTGCAGCAAGTCACCTTCTAAACCCATGAGGATGGGGGCCAAGAGATTTACAGAGCAACTTCCGGTAAAGATCTCCAGGGTTCGGGAACGAAGCCTCACGTCAAGCACTTCAGTGACCAGGAAAAGGTTACCCTACACAAAACTGTAAACTGCGAAAATACGGACTCCTCCCAAGATTTCTGCTTGTACTCTTCCACATGGCAGTCATGAGATCTGGGCTACAGTTCCCATTTTGCCACGATTGCATCAATATGCTCTTAGCCAAGTCACCTAACTTCTGTGGTGCCTTGGCCTTGAAATGGGAGGGTCCCCATGACTCCAGGGCTCAGGCTCGCTCCACTGGAAATGGCCAGTACAGGTGTTGTTTAGGGAGGTCCAGGTCAGGAGTCAGGGACTCCAGGGTGCCAGGCCCAAAGGAACAAGAACAGTGCGTTCTGATCTTGGTTCCACTACTTCGGAGCTAAGAAAACACGTTTCGTAACAGTCGTGGGCCCCAGTTTCTGATGAGAATAAAAAAATGCACAGAAATGCAGGACAGTAGGGTAGTGCTAACCAATACGAGGCACCCATTATGTGCTCCGCACAGGCCACTAGGTCATTTAGGCTTTACAGTGTCTCCAATTTCCGTACCGAGCCCAGGCTCGGCCCCCTTGTTTCCGACTGGATTGGCACCTGTCAGACTTTAGAGCTCCCGCCCCTGGTGCACGCAGATCACCAGCAGAGGTTTTCTGTTTGGTCGGTTTCTTCCCTACCTATGGAACATGCCCGGGACAGGGCCACCTCCAGACTCGGCCTTTACTGCCCTGGAGTGATGGCCAGGCGTGGGCATTTTCTGTGTGGCCAGGTGCCCTAGGGCAGGTACAGAGCCCCTGGACTGGATGATCTCCAGTCCCCATCTGGTTGTAAAAACCGTGGACTCGGAGGTAGAATGGTTTAGTGTCTTCCTTCTTCCAAACCAGGCTAGCATAACCTACATGCCTTAGTGGATTTGACACATGAGCAGATACAATTTAAAAAATCAGATTATCCTGCTGGAGAGAAACCCGGAAAGCAGGCCCCCGTGAGTCCCTCTTTCCTGCTGCCCCTCCTGCCGTCCCTGCTCCCCAGCAAGCAGCATGGGGACAGGCAGGGGCCCAACGCTCCGGGAGGGGAAGGCATGTGCACCGTCCGTCCCGGGTGGATACAGGGCAGGCTCCTGAGCACTTGGGAAGAGGCGGGAGCACAGACCTGTTCCTGGGTCCACATGTTCTGAACCACATGCCTGAGTCCCTACCACTGAGACACTGAGGCAAGGATGGAGGAACAGGGCTCGGCGGGGAGGCCCATGGAAGGTGGCCACGGGCAGCACAAGCACTTTCCCTGGGTGACAGGGACTGGTTGCCAGGGCTCAGAAATCCAGGAAAAGCCCCGGGCCTTTAAAGTACACCACGGCACAGCCCGGGGCCGGCTGCCAGGTCTGGGAGCCTCCTGGACCGCCTTTTTGAAGACGGTTTCGGATCTAAACACAGAACTGCAGACAGGTGAGGTCAGACACAGAAACGGACAGCAAGGCCGGAGCTGAGACAGACTGAGCCAACGAGAGAAACCGACAACTCACCCACCGCCCCCGTTCTCTCCCCGTTCTGATCCCCATCCCTGCTCCAAGCCGGATCTCACGTGCTCCTACACAGCGGCCGATGCGGTGCCTGAGCGAGCCCATGCTGGTCTGGCCTCATCCGGCACTGTGGGTGTCTCGGGGCCCCTGGGACCAACAGTACCTCCCAGCTGGGGGCGCTCCAGCGAGGTGAACCACCAAGCAAGGAAGGCCAGGCCTCGGGTCGCAGGGAACTGCAGGGACCCCGTCGGGGCAGCAAGTCAGCCTCCCCTGGAGCCCTGCGGAGGTCCCGCTGTCCCTTCCACAGCGTCACAGTGCTACCTGAATCCACGCACCCACAAAATCCACCAGGCCCTATTCCGGAAAGGCGGCGCAGACGGGGTGGGGCGGAGTTCCATTTCTCCTTTTGTCTTCCATTGGCCCGTCAGCGCGACCACATCCCCCCCAGCTTCGATGGCACAGGGGACACCAGGGTCACCTTCATATGGGCCTGCAGTGCAGGGGCAGTCACAGCTAGGGGTCACTGCTCCCTCGTCGGTACAGCGGGAGGCCCAGCAGCGCATACACAGCTCTTCCTCCACGTGGAAGGCTCCGGAGCCCAGGCCCTACAGCCCTGCACCCCCGCGGTAGAAGAGCTGTGGCCCGGAGGCGCTGGCTCCTGGAGGGGCCCGGAGCCCCATCCCTGACTCGCTGCGAGCCTTGTCTTTGGGAAAAATCAATCTACAAACCTCATCTTTCTTTCTTGTATAAGATTTGGTGGTTTAAGCTGATGCATTGCACTGGACCAGGCATTTTTTAAAGAATTCCTGGGTGTGAGTTTCAGGGCCATAGTGATCCAGCGGCCGCGTCTCCAGGGATGGGACTCTGTGGCCACCAGGACCCTTGCAGCTCCATCTGACACCCACTGATGAATTCATGGGGGTGCTAAATTGCTAAAATACCAGTATTTTTGCATTTGACTGCAATAACTGATCCAAAACTTGGAAATGAAGTCAAAAAGATGAAGAAAGGTTGCGTGCTTTTCAGGTCCTGCTGGATTACTGGCTAATAAAGCCCCTGAGGATCATCTGACTGCGGGAGACATGTGTCACTTCCTGTTTCCCCGGGGACTGGCCCTGTCAGTGAAGTGACAGGCTGGACTATGACAACGGTAAAGGGCTGTGATCTTCCTCTCAGCCCAGGGGAAAGAGATAATGGAAGGCCGTGGTTTCATCGCACTGGAGGTACCCACCAGCGCCCCGCTGGACCCCACAAGCCTATCTGAGCATTCCTTTCATTCACTGGTTTTGACGGGCTTTGTCTTCCCCCTGGATCGACCATCCATGAGATCAAAGTAAGCTAACAAGGGTTCCCCACTTGCGTGAGAATTATGTTTGTAAGGTTTTCAGAATTATGCGTTGGCAGTGCGTAAAAATATTTCATCCAAAGTAAAAAAAAAAAAAAAAAGAGAGAGACTCAAGGAGCAAAATTTAGGAAATATGAACAAGCATAAAAACACAAAAATAAAATTCTGTAATCCCCTAAGGCAGCTCCAGGGAGCGCTACTGCTTTGGGTTCAATCATTTGCTGGTTCAAGCATTTCACTCAATATAAACTCTTATTTTTTCCCATAAAAAGGGATCAGGTATACACACACTGCCTCGCACCTGCTTCTTTCCTCTCCACAATACAGGACTCCGGTGCAGAGGTTCTCCTCCTGGCACTGAGACCCTCCCCCTCCCAGGGATGTTCTGCTACATCCAACACCCCGTTAGGTTTCCCCCTTTCTCACGGTCTCAACAGCTCTGCAGAGAACTTCCTGGAGGCTCCAGAGAGAACCCACCTCATGTTCAGCTCCAGTTTTTTAGGGATAGGAGGTGCTCAGTGAAAACCTGAACAGCAAATAGGGCCTGGAAGGTGCTGGAGGAAGGCTCACGGCTGAGGCCCCGCTCCTTCCCGACCCCCAGGGCTGACCTGCACAGGCCCCCCCTAGACGCGGGGGTGCCCCCCTGCACAGGGCTCCCCTAGACGCGGGGGTGCCCCCCTGCACAGGGCTCCCCTAGACACGGGGGTGCTCCCCTGCACGCAGAGGTACTCCCCTGCACGGGGCCTCCCTAGACGCGGGGGTGCTCCCCTGCACAGGGCCCCCGCTAGACGCGGGGGTGCTCCCCTCCACAGGGCTCCCCTAGACACGGGGGTGCTCCCCTGCACGCAGAGGTACTCCCCTGCACAGGGTCCCCCCTAGACACGGGGGTGCTCCCCTGCACGCAGAGGTACTCCCCTGCACGGGGCCTCCCTAGACGCGGGGGTGCTCCCCTGCACAGGGCCCCCCCCCTAGACGCGGGGGTGCTCCCCTCCACAGGGCTCCCCTAGACACGGGGTGTTCCCCTGCACGCAGAGGTACTCCCCTGCACAGGGTCCCCCCTAGACACGGGGGTGCTCCCCTGCACGCAGAGGTACTCCCCTGCACGGGGCCTCCCTAGACGCGGGGGTGCTCCCCTGCACAGGGCCCCCCCCTAGACGCGGGGGTGCTCCCCTCCACAGGGCTCCCCTAGACACGGGGTGCTCCCCTGCACGCAGAGGTACTCCCCTGCACAGGGTCCCCCCTAGACACGGGGGTGCTCCCCTGCACAGGGCTCCCCTAGACACGGGGTGCTCCCCTGCACGCAGAGGTACTCCCCTGCACGGGGCCTCCCTAGACGCGGGGGTGCTCCCCTGCACAGGGCCCCCGCTAGACGCGGGGGTGCTCCCCTCCACAGGGCTCCCCTAGACACGGGGGTGCTCCCCTGCACGCAGAGGTACTCCCCTGCACAGGGTCCCCCCTAGACACGGGGGTGCTCCCCTGCACGCAGAGGTACTCCCCTGCACAGGGTCCCCCCTAGACACGGGGGTGCTCCCCTGCACGCAGAGGTACTCCCCTGCACGGGGCCTCCCTAGACGCGGGGGTGCTCCCCTGCACAGGGCCCCCCCCTAGACGCGGGGGTGCTCCCCTCCACAGGGCTCCCCTAGACACGGGGTGCTCCCCTGCACGCAGAGGTACTCCCCTGCACAGGGTCCCCCCTAGACACGGGGGTGCTCCCCTGCACAGGGCTCCCCTAGACACGGGGTGCTCCCCTGCACGCAGAGGTACTCCCCTGCACGGGGCCTCCCTAGACGCGGGGGTGCTCCCCTGCACAGGGCCCCCGCTAGACGCGGGGGTGCTCCCCTCCACAGGGCTCCCCTAGACACGGGGGTGCTCCCCTGCACGCAGAGGTACTCCCCTGCACAGGGTCCCCCCTAGACACGGGGGTGCTCCCCTGCACGCAGAGGTACTCCCCTGCACGGGGCCTCCCTAGACGCGGGGGTGCTCCCCTGCACAGGGCCCCCCCCCTAGACGCGGGGGTGCTCCCCTCCACAGGGCTCCCCTAGACACGGGGTGCTCCCCTGCACGCAGAGGTACTCCCCTGCACAGGGTCCCCCCTAGACACGGGGGTGCTCCCCTGCACGCAGAGGTACTCCCCTGCACGGGGCCTCCCTAGACGCGGGGGTGCTCCCCTGCACAGGGCCCCCCCCCTAGACGCGGGGGTGCTCCCCTCCACAGGGCTCCCCTAGACACGGGGTGCTCCCCTGCACGCAGAGGTACTCCCCTGCACAGGGTCCCCCCTAGACACGGGGGTGCTCCCCTGCACAGGGCTCCCCTAGACACGGGGTGCTCCCCTGCACGCAGGGGTGCTCCCCTGCACAGAGCCCCCCCTAGACGCGGGGGTGCCCCCCTGCACGCAGAGGTACTCCCCTGCACAGGGCCCCCCCAGACGCGGGGGTGCCCCCCTGCACAGCGCTGACCTGCTCGCGGGGCTGCCGGAGCCCTGCCCTACGCGGCCCCGCCTCCCAGTCCAAGCCGGGGCCGGGCTCGGGCCGCGCGCGCCCACACAGCGCTGCACCGGAGGGGAGCGCGGGCCGGGCCCCAGCGGCGGGAACGACCACCCCGCCCGCTCGGCCCCGCGCCCATCCGCCGCGGTACGCGCCGCTGCACTCACCGCGAGGCCGCTGTCACGAACGCGCCGCAGACGCGACCACGCATGCGCACCCCCGTTGGGCGGGGCCTAGAGCGGGGCCGGGCGGAACCACGCGCGCAGGAGCGGGGGGGGGAGGTTGCGGACCGGACGGAACCACGGGCGCAGGAGGGGGCGTGCGGACCGGACGGAACCACGCGCGCAGGAGCGGGGGGGGGGTTTGCGGACCGGACGGAACCACGGGCGCTAGAGGGGGGCGCGCGGACCGGACGGAACCACGCGCGCAGGAGCGGGGGGGGTTTGCGGCCCGGACGGAACCACGGGCGCTAGAGGGGGGCGCGCGGACCGGACGGAACCACGGGCGCAGGAGCGGGGGGTGGGGGGAGGTTGCGGACCGGACGGAACCACGGGCGCAGGAGGGGGCGTGCGGACCGGACGGAACCACGCGCGCAGGAGCGGGGGGGGGGGTTTGCGGACCGGACGGAACCACGGGCGCTAGAGGGGGGCGCGCGGACCGGACGGAACCACGGGCGCTGGAGGGGGGCGCGCGGACCGAACGGAACCACGGGCGCAGGAGCGGGGGGTGGGGGGAGGTTGCGGACCGGACGGAACCATGGGCGCAGGAGGGGGCGTGCGGACCGGACGGAACCACGCGCGCAGGAGCGGGGGGGGGGTTTGCGGACCGGACGGAACCACGGGCGCTGGAGGGGGGCGCGCGGACCGGACGGAACCACGCGCGCAGGAGCGGGGGGGGTTTGCGGCCCGGACGGAACCACGGGCGCTGGAGGGGGGCGCGCGGACCGGACGGAACCACGGGCGCTGGAGCGGGGGGGGTTTGCGGCCCGGACGGAACCACGGGCGCTAGAGGGGGGCGCGCGGACCGGACGGAACCACGCGCGCAGGAGCGGGGGGGGTTTGCGGCCCGGACGGAACCACGGGCGCTGGAGGGGGGCGCGCGGACCGGACGGAACCACGGGCGCAGGAGCGGGGGGTGGGGGGAGGTTGCGGACCGGACGGAACCACGGGCGCAGGAGGGGGCGTGCGGACCGGACGGAACCACGCGCGCAGGAGCGGGGGGGGGTTTGCGGCCCGGACGGAACCACGGGCGCTGGAGGGGGGCGCGCGGACCGGACGGAACCACGGGCGCAGGAGCGGGGGGTGGGGGGAGGTTGCGGACCGGACGGAACCACGGGCGCAGGAGGGGGCGTGCGGACCGGACGGAACCACGCGCGCAGGAGCGGGGGGGGGTTTGCGGACCGGACGGAACCACGGGCGCTAGAGGGGGGCGCGCGGACCGGACGGAACCACGGGCGCTGGAGCGGGGGGGGTTTGCGGCCCGGACGGAACCACGGGCGCTGGAGGGGGGCGCGCGGACCGGGCGCGGGGGGAAGTTCGCGGACGGGACGTGCGGCCGCTGCCCCGCTGCCCGGCCCTCCCCGAAGTGCGCGGATGCCGGACGCCCTCGTTCCGCTGACTCGGGGGGAACTGCGGCTGTTCCAGGAGGGGGGCGTCTGAACAGACCCCGGGGCCCCCGCTGAGACGCTGGGAGCCCAGGAGTGCAGCCTGGGACGGGGGGTGCAGCTGGAGGCGGCTGCCCCAGCCGCACCCCGTGACAGCGGTGACTCAGCAATGTGAACCTGTAAAACTAGGTTGAGGCCGCCCGAGGCCACAGGGGCTTGGAAATGGGGCGCGCTCACATACGGTTTCGCTTCCCAAACCACCTGTGGTGCTGGCAGGTGATGGAACTTGTCTCGACCCTGGTCTCCTCCGCGAAGTCAGTAAAACCTGCCCCACTCAGGTCCTGGCTGTCAGTCCTCCACTGCGTGCGACTTCGGGAACAAACTCCCTGAAAACGCAAAGCTGGGAGAGGCAGCGTTAACTTCGTCCCCTGGGGAGTTCTCTTCCCTCTGGAGCAGGTGGTGTAATCTCCCCAGGACCCCGGAAAAAGAGGTTAAGTTGTTTATACTGGATCATGGTTTCCAAAGCCCTTCAGGGTGGCCGGTCTCCTAGGTCACCTCTCGCCTCCTGGCCCGCAGAATCTGCATCTGTGAAACGGAAAATAGGACGGTGTCCCCCCCAGAATACGGCCCAGAGAGTGAGGTGTGAGGACAGGATCAGCAGCATGCATTAAATTAGCATTCGGTGCCTGCTACTTAATAATACAAAGTAATTGTGAGATGAGGTGTGGAAACAGCTCTCTGAACTGTGAACTGGGTGTAAAATCTTAGGTGTCCTTGCGTCCACCTTCCAGGTAAGGAAGCCTCTCGAATGGAAGACTTCAGGGGAAAGGCAAAGTTTGCTGGCCTTGCCTGTGGCCCCAGTTTCTCCCACAGTTTGCTGTTCAAGGACCAGCCCCCAGAAGATGGGAGTCGGGGGCTTCGAATTGAGGGTTTTGTTTTTGAGCATAGATGGCCAGGCTTTGGAGAACCAGGAGCAGCCTTGCCTTGCATAAAACACCAGACTCTGCAGTCAGGCAGACCTGGGCTCCAGAACTACCAGCTTTGAGAAGTTGGTGTGCACCCTCTGAACCTCCGAGCCGTGACCTCCACTGGGAAATGTGCAGCAGCTGGTGGGTGCTCTGGGGTCTCCCTGGGGGCGCTGACCCATCGGGGTGCAGGTGCTCCCTTGTCAGCACACAGCAGAGCCCTTGCCCCTGAAAACCCCCGACTGAAGCCTTTTCTTTCTTTACTGACTTAACCCTGCTGGACATTTTGTATTTTTATATGCTTATCTTATTTCTTTGTTATTTCCTGTGTCTTCTGACCAAAATGTGACCTGCATGACAGGGGACTTGGTCCTGTCCCCTCTATTATCCCCAGCATTCAGGGAAGTGTCTGGAACAAGGATGGTGCCTTTCTGCTCTGCTGTCTTTAAAGCATAGTGGTGAGTCAGCCATTTAAAAAACAGATGCGAGGCGCCCGGGTGGCTCAGTCAGTTGAGCGTCTGCTTTCAGCTCAGGTCATGATCTCAGGGTCCTGGGATTGAGCCCCGCATTGGGCTCTCAGCTTGACGACGGGGAGCCTGCTTCTCCCTCTGCTGCTTCTCCCCCTGCTTGTGTACTCTCTCTCTCTCTGACAAATAAATAAATAAAATCTTAAAAAAAAAAAAAACAGATGCAGGTATAACTGGTAATAAATAACCAGGTAGAACTGAGAGACTTAACGAAACTGAGCGAAATGCAGCCTGATTTCTGCACACGCAGGACCCATGGGACTCTCCTGCTGCGGGGGGGCCTCTTTTAAGCCCAGCCGGGTCCCTCACCTCCTCCCTCCTACGGACACAGATGTACTGTTGAGGCGCCCTGGCAAGTGCTTTCCGGAAATGGTTCGTTCCGGCTTCCAGTGGGTCTGGCACATTCTCAGATGCTCGTAGGCGGACCTGCATATTTCCTAGGTAAGAAAACCAAGGCTCAGTGTGGGTAAAGGCCAAGTAACTTGTCTAACTACCCTCGGCAATACAAGAAAGCTGAGTTTTGAAATAGGAGGCCATGAGGTATTTGAAGGCAATCGAAATGGCTTCTTTAGAGGAGGTGGGATGGACAGTTTTAATGTTCCCTTTCCTTTTGGATCATTTAGGCAATACATGCTTGATTAAGGAAAAGGCAGATTTTTAAACGACATTAGCAGAGGGCTGCTGAGATCTCTCCCCTTCTGCCTATTTGTCAGAAGCAGGTGGGATGGCCGAGGTCTCACAGGGAGAGTGGGGAGAAGTTTCCTGCTTTGGATCCAAGTGCTTTTCACCAGAGAGCGCAGTTAGCTCTGCAGGAGACATATTCCAAACAGTATTTTAAAGCGTCGGACCCCAGTTCGTGATCTGCAGACAACGGATCACAAACAAACTCAGGAATCTCTGGACATCTGGCAGTGATTAGGTGCTCAGCCCAGCTGCCATGAAGATGCTCCTGGATGGGCTCTCCTGAGGCTCCTTTAACCCCCGAGGCTCGGACCTAGGGCTCTGCCTTGCATGGTCAGGCCAGCTCAGCATCGCCCAGCCGGGATGCTGTCACCCTGGCCTGCTTCAGCAAGAATGCTGTTGGGCTGGTCCAGCAAGAAAGGCCCAGCCTTGATGTTGCCCATCCACCAGCACCGGGACACACACCCGCTCGCCGCCCTCCCCCCCCCTGCAAAGCCCACTGCAGGGGCACCTCACCTCGGTGGTAGTTTCCCGAATAAAATCCATGTCTGCATTCTTTAACAAGGGGCATGGATAATATTTTCTTCCAATAAGGATGGCAAAATGAAAGCATTTTAGACAGAAAACATTTGTCCAAGAAAAATGCATTCATTGTGTCCACCTCTTTTTTCTGAGAAGCATATTTTGAACCACAAACCATGGCGCCTGTGGCTCACGTCCGAGATTTTCAGAGGGCTCGGAACTTGGGTCCCTTTACTCCCACTGGTGGTGTGACCTCGGAAGGTTTGAGTAACGTCTCTGAGCCACAGACATAAAAAGCTGAGACTGGTCTCAAGTCTCTTGGAGTATCAGGGCTTCTGCTGAGTGTCTGTCGGCTGAACCAGGGCAGGGCTCTCTCCGTGGAGAACGAGGACCTTCAGGCTAATGGCTGTAATTATCTTGGCACACAAAGCATCCTAAGTCTCGGTCGGCCAAACACACGACCGTAACAACCAGCATTTAAAAAAGAAAATGCCTTGATAAAGATTACGTTTGTTCAAGGGCCAGGAAGCCAGGCTGTTCTCGAGGGCCCGTCCAAGCAGAGCGTGGCCCAGCCCACCCCTCCTGGGGGGACATCTGGCAAGGTGGACACCTTTGGGTTTCACAGCGGGTGGGGTGGGGGTGCGGGGCTTCAGGCACAGGGTGTGGGGGCCGGAGATGCTGCTCTGGAACACGGGAGTGCAGTAGCGTGGAGACTCAGAGACCCTGGTGCAGCTGAAGGAACCACCTCCAATTACAAGCTCAGTCACGCGGCAGAGAGGCTGCCCCCCCGCCCCCCCAAGCCGGTCAGGCCAGTTCCCTCCCCTGGACTGGCCCCAG